AATAATATTACACGCAAACACAAAATTTTTCCTCACTATTTTTTAATCATACATTCTCTACCGAAACACTGTTCCAAAACAATCATGTTACATGTACACTTGTATATATCTTTCCTTACACTCCGCCATATCGCACCATCATTTCCTTTGATTGCCTCAACAAATCTCTCTCTTTCTTGCCCGAATTATGCCACGTTGGGAGAGTGTAAGGTGTAATACATAAAATAATGCTAATCTAGCATAATTGATTTCAAAATGCATTTTTGGAGGAAAAAAGGAGGGGGGAGTGGGTGGGTGCTCAATGAATCAACAACTGTATCTCAACTCAAATTTGTTACATATCAGCTGAAGAAAATAAGTACAGATTAAGTGGAAAAAATATAAATTAAATACACTATTCAACAATCAAAGAGACTCGACCGTGTGAGATGTTAAATTTTCGTGTACCCATTACATTACAACGTGATCGAAATTTGTTTTTGGAGGGTCATCTGCAGTCCATTGAACTAAAAGAATCCGCAAACCCTGAAGGTTTCGAGGGTATGCTCGACTGCGTTTGGCTGTAAGAGAAATCGTCAAACATTCTCGACGTGCCTTCATCAGCTTGCCATCTCTGAAGGGCTTGAGGAAGACTCAAGTGTTGATCAATGCCATAACCTTCCTCTTCTTCATGTTTAGATGGTTTCCATTGCTCGACTAGAGGTCCCAGGACATTAACTGCGTGTCCCATGTCAGGTCTCTGGAGTGGCTCGCGGGCAGTGCAATGACCTGCCAACTCAGCAACTCTGCATATGCTCTCATAGGTTTCGTCATCAGGATCAAGAATCGAGTCAATGGCTTTTCGAAGGTTGTCTTTGTTGATAAGTACTCTACGGAACCATGTGACAAGATGAGACCTCTCATCTGGCATTGTCTCATCAAGTGCTTTTCTACCTGTGATTATCTCCATTAAAACAACTCCGAATGCATAGACATCGACTTTCGTTGTCACTCGTCCTGTGGCTGTTGAAAAAATAGAAAATGTAAGCCATGAGATTTGTATGAATTCGATAATCACTAAAAAGACAAGGTCTAAAATTGATTTGATCAAGCTTTTTCAAATGCTGAGTATCAAATTCATACTTGACCATCAATGTATCCTACACGCTCTAAATTTCAATACAAGATTAAAACATAAGCTAATATTCAACTGTAATTACATCATGGCGGAAAAAAGACAGGTGTCACAATTTCGAAAATGAACAACCAAAGCATAACAGGACCCCGAGCTAAACACAATTGTACTACTCAATAGTAACTTTCTATGTTGTCAATATGCACCAACAAGAACTACCATTTATGGATTTTATGCACGTTTTGCAGCTATGTTAGTAAATATAGTTTGATTGGATTATATCACATATAGACAATACTCACCAGCATACTCAGGTGCAAGATACCCGAATGTTCCAGCCAACCGTGTCTCAACGGAGTACTTTCCATCAGGTGCATTTCTTACCAATCCAAAATCCGCAACCTTTGCCCTCATGTCATCTGAAAGAAGTATGTTTGATGGTTTTAAATCTCTATGGATGAAACTTTGTTGGGCCAAGCTGTGAAGATACTCGACTCCCCTAGCCACATCTAATACTATTGTAACCCTCTGTTTCCAAGTGAGAGGCTGATAGCCATGTTCCTGCCATTCAAACAAATGCTGAGCTAAAGTTCCCCGTGGCATGTACTCATATACCAAAAGCCTCTCGTTTCCATTAATACAGTATCCAAGAAGGGCAACCAAATGCCTGTGCCTAACTTTAGTAAGAACTGCAATTTCTGCTTGGAACTCATTCATTCCTTTTATGCCCATTGCTCCAGACTCCATTCTCTTTACAGCAATTTTAGTCCCATCATTAAATTCACCCTTGTAAACTACTCCAAATCCTCCTCTACCCAATATATTCTCTTCACTGAAATTGTTGGTCACTTGTCGAAGAAGTTCCATAGAAATAGCGACATTTCCACCTTCAAATATAGGAATTTCACGATGATCACCGCTGCTCTGGCTCTGTAACTCACTTCTGGCTCCAGCGTATCCATTCACTCCATTTGTTAGGTTAGTCTTTGCCATTTCCATCCTTTGCTTAGGGCCCTCATCAACCCTTTCAACTCCCTTTCGTTGTCGCCACATGACATGGCATTTATAAAACACAAAAATTAAAACTCCAATGAATACGACAACAGCTATAACCACACCAGCAACCATACCAGCTGAAACAGAGGACCCTTTTGAAGACCCCGTTGGGCTCCCACTTTGCGAGCCGGAACCTGGTCCAGACCCAGGCGCCCCACCACTTCCTCCACCACCACTACTCACATTTTTCCCAAGTAACAAATTACCAGCATAATTAAACTTCACACTAGCAGGAAACAATGGAATAGGCCCAGACAAATTATTATTAGACAAATCAAGATTCTGAAGCTGAGGCAAAGTAGTCAAAGCACTCGGGATTGAACCCGTGAGATTATTATCATTCAAAATCAAACTCCTCAGAGAAGTAAGATTCACAAAAGTGGGTGAAATAGTACCTGAAAACCCCTGCTTTCCCATGTTCACAGTGGTCACATTTTTCCCCTGCGAATCGCAAGTAATGAACCTCCAACCATTGCAAGCATCATTGCCTTCCCAAGAATCGGCCAAAGACATTGGATACCCAAAACCACCAGCAACATCAAGAAGTGCAGTGACCTGTGGATCACAGGGGCCTGGAGTATCCTTACAAAAGCTATTAGTACTCCCAATTGTAACACGAACCGTGCTCGAAAACTGAGGATAAGGTCCTTGCAGCTTATTATTCTGTAAACTAACGTTAACAAGCTTAGGGAGGCTCATCAAAGAAGGTGGCACCATCCCTGTAAACTGATTATCCCTCAGCTGCAAATCAAACAGATTCGTACAATTCGACAAATCTGGAATCGGCCCGGAAAATGCATTAGCATGTAACCAAACCTGGGAAGCTTGAGTCATGGAGGATAAAACATTAATTCTCCCAGACAACCCCTGCTTCTGATTGTTCAACCACAAATTCTGTATCTCAGAATTACCCAAAGATCCGGGTAAAGATCCAGTCAAATTATTGTAAGACAATCTCAAATTCTGCAGATTAGGAAACGAATCAAATATATCCGGGATCACCCCAGTAATACTCGCATTACTAGCAGAAAAAGCACCAAGATTTGTACTTTCATTTAAATACAACGGGATTTGCCATGGAATGAGGTTGATATTCTCACTTATGCTAAAAGTCTGAAGATTTGTACAGCCCAGAAGGAAACTTTGCGGGATGGCAGTGAAATCATTGATGTCAAGATAGATTTTCTCAAGAGAAGACATATTGGCAAACGAAGGCAAAGTACCCGTTAAAGAGTTCTTTTGTACAGCAAGAGTTTTGAGCTGGGAGAGCTGGTTGAGTTCAGCTGGGAGGGTGCCGGAGAGAGACTGGGAGTTGATATCTATGGAGGTGACAAAGGAGTTGGTGCTATCACAGTTGACACCAGTCCAGGTGCAGAAGCGGGTGGTGGCTGACCAGCCGGAGGGCGTGGGGGAGAGGGAGGAGAGGAGCTTCGACATAGCGGAGGAGTCATCGGCGGAGGAAAAGGAAAGTAGACAGATGAGAAGGAGATGTAAGAAGCGGTGGCGCGTGGCCATTTGTCGTGGGGTTTCTTGGATGGGGTGGTGGGGATGGTGTGTGTGTAGGAGAGAGAGTAGGGGGCTAGGGGCAGTATGTGTTAGGGTTGGGCACTATTTCTCGAAGCTTACCGCCTTACCCTTTATTTATTTGATTTCATTTTGGACCTTTATTACTGCATCTACACCACGATCGCATAATAAGTGCTTGTTTGGTAGGGATTTTTGAGGAAATAATTGAT